ACACACACACACACACACACACACACACACACACACACACACACACACACACACACACCCAGTTGAAAATTTTTTTTAGAATTTTATACGATTTGGATCATTTTTGAGAAATACTCAGAAATAGTCGAATAGTTTATATCTTTATTCAGAATTTGTCGTACAAGTAAATTTTCAAATATTCTAAAATTTCTCATCCCATAATTTAAAAAAATGTTTTTAAATTCTTTAGATTTTATAACATTTAATTAGTGAAATCAAACTTACAAAAAATCTTCATATAAATTAAAAATCTTATATAATAATTAACAAACATGGAAGATTTTGAGAAAAGATGTAGATTTATTAAGAACGGTTCCAATTTATAAAAAATGTGAGCAAGTTATAAAAATATATAAAAACTTTGAAAAATTATATAAAAATTCTGAGAAAAATTTTCATCAGGGTAACTTTGCCAACACACGATTTAAACATAAACTTACTGACAGATTTTCGTTGAAACCGCTTATTTGTATTATAATACCTGTATCTTCTTCATTAACATCGATCTCATAACTAAATCCAGCCGTTATAGCCGGATATAACTTATCGAGCAATAGATATTTTATTACATTGCAGTACATTTGTAAAAGAGCAGCACTGTAATGTTATTAATATATATTAAGGCTAATATTAAATACATTTATAAAAATCACAATTCATAATAATTACAAGTTAGAGTTTATAATAGGTATATATAAGTTCGACAAACGTCGTAGTACTAATATAATGTATAAATAGTGTTTATGTCCAAGCTATTATTTACTTTTTTGATTTTCGAAATTGCAGATGAGAAATGGAGACAATATGAAGATTTATATGGCACACCGGCCAATTAAACTTCGGACAAAACCAAATTTCCGATACAGAATCGTTGTTTATTTTTACAGGATATTTCGAAGCTTTTGCTGATATCGGTATAAAAGAGAAATTATTGGTAAGAAATTTATTGCGTGATGGTAAATGAAAACTAGACAATGGTTCGATAGATTTCCAGTGATTGAGCCATTCATCTGGTAGCTCCATATCTTTATAAATAATTTTAATATGCGGTTCGACTATATTTTTTTTAAATCTATTGTTGAAAATCATGATCTTCGCCGTCTCTGGCATCAAAAGATTCAAACATTTTTGTATAGCTTCTGGGTTATACTCAAAATAAATATGCTTTCCAGTTAGATAATCACACGGCTGATAGAAATGCATTCCCTTACATAAATCAAACACATCATTATGCTTACTAAAAAATCTAAAAAAGTATAAGTGACATATCTTATATATTTTAATAGTATTTTTATTTTCTACATATCTACTTATTCCTAAAATTGATTTACCTAAAATTATTATTTCCTATTTTATAAAGCTCATTATAAATACTCTTTTGTGGACCCATTCTTCTTATTAAATTCATAAAAGAAAATATTGCATTTAGAACCTTTCTCGGATATTTTAGTCCCTCTTCGGTGAGTTCTACTATAATCTCAAATAAAACGTACATAGAGTTGTATCCGAAATCATTATTGTTATCACAGTTACCACAAAACACATCAAGGCCCCACATTTTTTTACGTAGATAACTAGTTAAAGAACCATTTCCTTTATGTTCAATAATCCATGAAATATATTTACTTGGTTTACTTTTGTAAAAATTTAGTAGTGAAGGCAAAACCCATATTACATGCAACTGTAAAAGGGATGTTTTATTTTCATATGCATTTAGTCAGTAGACACAGATTTTTTTTTTTAATTTGAGTGTCTAAGTTACATACTTGGCTGATATGATTAATGGGTTTAATCCATTTAAACGTTTTTTGAGATGCGTCAGTTTCAAATAAATCGCCGTCTTTAAATTCGGTAAAGTCATCGGAAGGCAGCCAATTACTTGATAAAGAATTAAAGCATAATTGGACATACTGTTCCAATGTATCTAACGATAATCTCGCCTATAAACAGATGTACGTGTTATGTTATAATTTAACTATATTTAATAAGAAATCAATTCTTCATCGCAATTTTAACACATTATAATTGCCTGTATAGCTAGCGTCATTCTGTGAGCGCTATAATGGTGTTTTTTGAATTTGTACACCTCTTCGTACAACTTGTCATCATTTATATCATTGTTTAAAGGTATCGAATTTCCTCGAAGAAACTTACTGGATGGATGACCATTTCGAGCAATAAAAGACAATAATCGTTCCATTCTATGTTTGTTACTAGATGAATTTAACTGAAACTCTATGTGAACATGGAGCATTAGAAAACTGCAAGTTTTAGCAACATCATTATCATTATGAATTATATACCTTTTTGTACGATCTTTCGCTCTCGCGTGATGGCATCTTTCTTTATCCAAAATCCATCGAAAGATATACTAAAAGGAACGAGAGCTGATAACAAATGTGTCTCTGAGATATCAAAGTAAAATCTTGTATACTCGCAATCTGTTACACCGTAAGTAGTGCCACCATGAAGACTGATAAATCCTTTAAAATCGTTTTCCTATAAATACAATGATATTTAAACATTTAATTGTACAAAAAATGTATTTCATAAAAAATTCACTTATCATATTTTAATACATTTGGATATTTTTCGGATTCTATAAAAATCATGCGTTGAAGGAAATGTGCCAGTCCTGGAACTTCCGGTGGATCATTAAAACTGCCTACTCTCACACATAAACCACAAGAAGCCTAAGTTTAAAAAAAATATATATATACATATATACATATATATCTATACATTTACTTTGCGTTGCATACCAGAATGTTAAATTGATACATTAAGCAAACTGTAGTGAGATGACCCGTGAACAGTTTTACATATTTCTTCAAACGAATCCATGAACATTGATTTATAGATAATAGAGGAGTTTTTACAGATAATGGATATTTTTCAAACAAGAACTGATAATGGGGGCGTTTTGAATTATGCATGAAACACATGATGCGTCATTTGTCTTTGTTGTTACTATAATAATATAGGAAAATAAAATGATCATATATCATGCGCCTCATGCATAATACGGAACGTATCTAGTATCAAACATTACTGGAGGAATACGCTATTAGCGCCATTGCAACATTTTATTTTTCCACGTCTGATGAAGGATAGAGATGGATCGACAAAATTGCACTAATAATGCACTTCTGAACGCAATTTTGAAAAGATAGATTATTTATTTTTTATGATTTTATAAGTACAATATTATTATTTGAATGAATTTTTAAAAACAGTAAATAACAGATAAATGTAAAAAATAATACGCTAGAAAAATCCAAAAGTGTTAACTGAATTATTTTGTTTATACCTTCTTTACGTCTTTTTTAACTTGTTTAACTGAAGAACAACTTGCTCCATAGTCTTTATAATTCGTATTATTCGCTTCTTCCAGATCAGATATTAACAAAGCTGTTAAACCATTTGGTAGTCTAATGACTCTAAATTTGAAAGACAAAACGATTAACGACATGATGAGAAAATACTAAGGATTATATAAACAAATATTAATTCTTCTTTGTATGAAGTACATTTTAACATTTTTTTTAAAAGATTATCATCGCACTAAATAATATATCTTCCGCACATTTCAAAGGAAATCGTTCTTTTTGCTGAGTTTCCACTCCGGTCTTACCTGTATTCAGCTTTATGATACTCCGATTTTTCAGGCTTGTCCAGAATTGTATTCGATATTATATCTTTCCCGTTCAACAAATCACAAATTATAGACACAATATGATCCATTCAGAGAACTCAAAAAAAGATTTCTATATGATTTAACTTTCTTGCCGGATAGATTGAATACAGAGAGATCTAGACTGGATACAATTTTTATCAGTACTCTAGCCGACACTTCTTCATTCTCTATGTTGTCGAACGTCAATATGAAAGTCAATACCAGTAACTTGTGTATATACACATACATTGTAGCAGAGTGAGAGGAAATATAAATAATACATATATTGTAGCAGAATGGAAATAGAAATAGTAAGTAAAGTCGTATGTACCCAGTATCCGAAAAATCAGAATTTTATCTTTAGCAATGAGCATACAAATCCATTCTATCTACTTCAATTCCAATAACTTTAATTTTTAACATGTACTTTGGTATGTTTATTTAGAGAGTAATTAAAAATTATTTAAAACCAAATTTTGAACTGTACAATTCATCTAATTTAGTATAATATCGCTTCCATGTCAAATATATAACAGAAAATTTGATAAATAACTGTGTCCAGGAAAATTAGACTTTTCGGTGGTAATATTGCCATGAAAGATATATTTGCGGGAATTTATTCGAAATGACATATTATACATCACATTAAAAGTAATTACCGCCAGCAAACTTGGAAAAATTTCTATCTTTGCAAAACTGATAAAAAATGCGGGTTTTCGTTAAAATCTTAGAGAATATTCATTTTGTCAAAATAAAAATCATTATCAAGAAGAAAGTTGATAAAATTAGAAACAATTTCGTTTATTTTTAAGTTATACAATACTTTCGATGATAGAATTTTTTAAAAAATGTTATACTTTTAGACATTTCGACAACTGGAATTTTTTCCGTAAATATCTCAGATTTGGTTGCTTTTACGTACAAAATAAATGTTATGGAAGGTTACTAAATTTTTTACAAAATCGTTTCTTATTAAACCTCGTACGATAAATAGTTGTCGAAATAAATAGATTTTCCAAATTGTAATACATTTTAATAAATAATAATAATTTACATGTGACTTCTCGTATGTAAAAAATGTACAGTTTTAATTCTTGTGTAATTAAATTGAAAATATTTTTTTAACGTACGGCTAATTGTTTTCGAGATATGGTGTTTCAAAAATATTAGTTTTTTATATTCAAACTTTAAATACGAAGCGCCTTACAGTTTCGAGTGTTATGTTGAACTAACATTCATTTAAATTGAATTAATTTTTCAGAAATAAATTGAGAGCCGATGAAATTATCGGACACAATCATTCTGATAATCCCCCCAAATTTTTCCCAAATCTAAAAAATTGTAATAAACTTATTACGAAAAATATTGCCTCGGCCGGGATCTCTTGCATTCCGTGCGAGATGTCTCGATAGTCTAAAGGCTTAGGACCCTCGCACGTTCTTTGTATTATCTCTTCGGTAATACGAAAGATATCGTTTAGTCGACTTTTCACTTTTCCGGAACGACAATCATAGAAAGATGACGAAAAGATGGTTTTTTTAAGTTGTCTTTTCGACAAACCTAAAAGACTTACAAAACGTATAAAGAACTTATAAGCTCCTTATTAAGATCAAATATGGATAGATTTTAAGAATTTTATATAAACATTTAACAAAGAATCTTATATAACTTAATATGGTCCTTTACGTAGTCCAAATATAATTTAATATAGGCTTAATATAATTTAATAAAAATTTTATTAAAATTTAATAAAATATTAAATAAGATTTTAATAACGGTTTTATTTTAATAAATCTTTCTAAAGTTTTAATAAAACAAACCGTTATTAAGATTTTATTTAGTATTTTATTAAATTTTAATAAAATTTATAATAAAATTATATTAAGCTTATATTAAATTATATTAAATACATATAAACATTTTTTTGCGGGATGCTATAAACAACTTAACGAATAAAGTAAATTTAAAAATTTATTGCAATTATATCATTATACTGATTTGTATATGGCTATGTCACTTGATTAACGACGTTATGCACACGTCCTCTTTTCAATGTTAGTGAGCGCATAAAAAGCGCGACTACTAACATTAAGAGTATTATGAAAGTCCGATAAGTTCCGTTTCACGTTCATGCATGGATTCTACATTATATTATAATAAATTGTATTCTGACAATAACTATACATTGAATAACAGATACATATACTGTTATTCATAACTGTAAGAAAGGGAAAAGTAAATAACATCTTATTTTCAATTTTGGGTCTTGATTATATATTCGGGTCGTCATAATTTTATCATCTATGTACACATGTGTGTACATTTAAGTAATTTTGCATTTACATTTCTTTTTCATGTCGAAATTAATAGTAAGGATTACGGTAACAAAATTTGTTCTGTGTATATAAATGTAATACATTCTTTGTTCATACTTTCTTTCTCGGTTTAATTTTGCTTAAATTCATCTTAGAGCTTTATTTCTCGTATGCGATATTCTTTTGCACTTAGTTTGAAAAGCAGAGCACGGTTTTTATTTACACTATCTGTTGTAATTATCCATTTCCTTCCTTTCAATCGTCTTTTATATTGTTTGCATTCTTCTTTTTTTTGTTCTCATTTCGGTCATGGTATTCCTTGTATACAGATAAGGCTTTTTTAAAAGATCTAATTAAATATATCGAGTACCAGCGTGAAATCCATCTGCGTAATCGTACTCTTGTTCTACTGCCTATCCTTTTCTGAGGAGGCGGTGCGCATGCTGAACGTCACGCCAAGCTACCACCGATCTTCTAGTTCTGGGCTTCACCTTCTGCTTCCTCAAGATACACTTCTGGGAGATGTGGACGGACGTGGTGACCGTCGGGCTATGCGGCAAGTTAATCGAAGCCCTTTGGGGCGCCTTCGAGATAAAGACGTTCTTCGCAATCGTCAACTTCAGCGTCATCATCCTCTCGGTCCTCTTCTACCTTTTTCTACATGTGCACTAGCAATCCGAATCTGCTCTTCAACATATGCATACTCATTTGACCGGTTACATCCGACACTGTGTATCGATGTATGTCGCCTAAAAGCCCTAATGAAAAGCACCCATTGTAATTCATTGGATTACTAGAAGATGTACATCCCACTTTTTTGGGGCTGGAATGTTTATATGAGTTTCATCTACAGCACCAATGATTCTCGAAATTACGACCACTCGTATTTTCGAATTCTGCCCACACTTCATCTACTCATGCACCTGTAAGCCACTTAACAATGGTAGGTGCAAGCTCTACGAATGCCTTTACAATACGTCTTGTAATATAGAGTGCAGTGCTTCTATCAACATTGAAACGTTTACATATTGATTTAAGCATAAAGACATAAAAGCATTTAACAATTTTTTTTTTTTTACGATAATATTGACATGTAGGATAAGATACAACTACTATGCATATCTCCGCTATTTTTTGAGAAAAGACAGAAAGAGCACGATATCCTAAACACGAAAATATTTGCTTTTTAAAATTATTCATATCAAAAGCTATAAAGATAATAAAAAATTGAATGGTTTATGAGATATTTTATATTTTGATATTTTTTAACATAAAATACAAAATCTGTCGTAGAACATTCGCTCCCTGCACACTTTTTCCGTACACTACAAATAACGGAGATGATAATTGTAAGTCCTTTATCCTGTATACATAAATGAAGAAAATTCTTTGTACATCAATGATAATTAAAGTGATAGTTTCAATTACTTTTACTAAACACATATATAACATATATAACTTTTACTAAACACATATATAACAGATATCTGTAATGCAAATATAATTATTGAGAAAATTATAACAATTTACCAAAAAGAATCTGGGGCTATTCTCCATAATACCAACAAAAATTGCGTGCACGGAGAAATCATAGGCATTGCATATATGTTGCATATATGTTGTCCTTTGTAGTCTATGCTGAATATGAGAAAGAACATAATAGCACACACACAGGAAACATCTTAAATATTATATAAAAATTACATACACATAAAACACACATATAAACGCGTAGTTATAGGCTGCATTCGGAAATATTACTCGAGCACTCGTCCTATCTTTATTACTTACTTATTTTGTGTTACATCTTTGCTAAATAAGAAATGCATTTAAAATATTTTTTTTTTTAAATCGTCATGAAAAATATATCGAGTGAGATTATTATTTCGTACAATAATTAACAAAATATAACTTATTTTGTGTTACATCTTTGCTAAATAAGAAATGCATTTAAAATATTATTTTTTTTTAAATCATCATGAAAAATATATCGAGTGAGATTATTATTTCGTACAATAATTAACAAAATATAACAAAATATAACTCATTCCTAAAAAAAAAAAAAAAAACATTAATAAATCACTTAAAATGAGCTTGAAATTCTTTTTCTGTCAATTATAGATAATAATCTTTCTACATAATTTTCGATTCTTGGAATATGTCTTCTTGGATTTCTTCCAATTAACTGCAAGCTACTATTAAAGACCGTCAACCCTGGGCAAATTTTCGGCGGTATGAAAAGAGTCCCAAGGGCCCGGAGGTAACTAAAGAACGCTGACATTATCGACAATTGATATAAATTTGCTATTATTAACATAAATATTTAGCTTATACATTATTAAATTCATGATTTTTTATTACATAAATGTTCAATAAATAAATATGCATACTTGTAAAGCTGTAATGTTCTATATATTGTAGAAAAATTACAATTTTTTTTCTTTGCAGTTATCATCTCTGTTGATAATCAAATTTTGACGATAACACTGAAATCACAATGAAAAAAAAAGTCGAGTATTATTGAGTTCTAAATGCATAAATACATCTATTAAACAATAAATCATAAAATAAATACAATATTATCAGTTTTTATCTCTTAATCACTTCAATATTCACAAGAACGCGAACTCCCATAAGAATGTCAGTTTTTAATAGTATCTTGTGTTGGTGCCAGAGCTAACGACATGGACACAAAAAATTTATATTTTAAATATTTCTTTTTTGTTTGATTTTTTAATTTATTTTTTTGATAGTTTAATTTATTTTTTGTATTTATTTACTCTTTTTCTTGTTTTATAATTTTTTTACTTTTTTATACTTATTTTTTAATTTCTTTGTATATTATTCAATATTTATATTTTTTTAGTATATTTTGATCAACCTACACACTGGTAGGCAACACTTATTATGGATTATTATGACATGATTCAGAGAAGCTTTGTATGAGATAGCTAAATATTATACTCTTTACAGTTAATCAATAAATAAATTATATTCTTACTAGAATACTTATCGTAGAAAATGACGAGGAGTATAATTAAATACTCGATCGTCAACGAAATATTATCGAAGGTATAAGGTATATTTCGCTCAGCCCTTTATTACCGATAGCGACATCTTTTATCATAAAATAAAAAGTTATGTACGTTATCATAGATGACATTATAGAATGCTACTACCTTTTCTTGCCCATTTTCTATGAGTTATCTCTATTATAAATGCAAGAGTTTGCTTCATGTGCAATTACAAATTTAATTAATTTGTTCTAATAATCTCTTTAAGTTATAACGCGACACCTAAAAAACTCTATAGCTGTGATACGATATAGCGCGAATTTGTAAGATGACTACAAACTTTTTTAAGGTGGCCACAATAAACGAACTATACTGCTACTCCCCATTAACCTTTTGGATTCATTTTGTCTATTGACAATGATATATCAATAGTACTAAACATTTACTTACAATAAATAAACATTTATTTTTAATTTAAAATATGATAACTAAATAAAAATAATGATCTTTGTATTAAATAAATATATATTTATACATATCATTAAATATCATTAAATATATATATATATATATATAT